AGCTAAATGTTTTTTTTTTCAAATATAATTGTTTTGTGGCGCTATGTCACAAGGCACTGAGGTTCTTTTTGGTAATCTCTTTCTGAAGTATCATTTATTTGCCCTGAAAACAAGCTTCATACTTGCACGTAGTGGAAGGTTAACCAGATAGCACCATAATAGCACGTGTTGATGAATTATTTTCTGCAATACTTTTGTATTGGATTCATGCAGGCTTAAATCCCTTGATGCCTACGTTGCTGACAGACAAGGTTACATTTCATATATTCTGCCAGTACTATAGACAGCTGCCATCCTCCCTCTAACTGTTCTCCCATACACACTTTTGGTACACCCAGCTACATCCTCTCTCTTCTTTTCTCTATTAACATTTTCATTTAGGGCCAGTGCTTTCCCTTTGCTGAAAAAAATAAATAATCCAGCCTAATGTTGTTTTGGCATTTTGGTCATTAGCCTGACTTACTACAAAACTGAAAAGTAGCTGTCTCCCTGCTGCGCCATGGCACACAGGGTGCAAATAATTAACCCTGACTTGCTACCTCACTGCTTAACAGAGGAGAATAATGAATCTGTATGTGAGGCAAGTTGACATCAAGATTACAATTACACACTATTTGTGCTAAATGTGATTTATTGTATATATTCTAATTGTAATGTCTTATGCCATAGACGATATGTGTGTATATATATATATACACCCTACAACCCTGTACGCAGGATAAGTGGTTGACGATGGATGATGGATGATGGTTTTTAGTTATATTGGTTTGGTTTGAGCAGGTGAAGTCAAAAGTTGAAGGGCATTTTTGGCTATGTAATTTAATAGGATTTTCAGCTGACATTAGCAGTCCTGCAGCAAATAAAGAGTAGGTTTGTGTTAGAAATTCCTCATCGAAAACATTTTGGCACCATGCTTCAATTCAGTCTTTGTTATTGTGTATGGAGTGTATTAAGAGACTAGACTTTCAGCTCTTGCACAAGAGTGTGCAGAGAGAGAAAAGGTCAAGTGACATCCCAATAAAGAACCCTATACAATTTTGCAACATCTGTCAGAATGTTTCATGGTGATCAGTCGGTTTGGTCCTCAGGCCTCAGCTGCTCTGTACATACCTTACCTTATGAACTAATACAACCAGGAGCATGTGCTGACCATGCTTATTATTCAAATTGACTGCTGTTTGGTTTCTAGAATATGCATTCATATTTTAGCAACCTGCTGTTATATTTCTGAGTGATGAGCCAGTGTAATGTAAGTACCATGTTGGCACAGACATTTCCTTCTATTTGCAGGGTAGGAGAGAGAGAAGAAAAGCCGTGCTTTCCAGTCTGGTCAAATACCTAGGTCCTGAGGCCGCATCTTCCATCCACTATGAAGAGAAAGTAAGTAGTTCAGCGGCAGATGTCTGATCTAATAAAACAATGTTTTGGTTTGAGGCAGAATTTTGTAGTGCCAAAATTGCTAGTCTCATTTTTTACCCTGCATTCCAGAGGAAGGCTAATTTGTGTAGCTAAGGTCTGCAGCTCTGTCATCAACAATGGACCAAATTGATTAATTTATAAAAGACTTAGTGTAGTGTAATGCATACTGATCTAACCTGTTAGCTAAATGTATTAGTTAAGAGTTTCTAGGTTCAGGTTCTAGACCTGTATTAATCACATTTATTTTACTGCTAAATTTTGAGGCAATGCAAATGTTAATTCACATTCACCAAATGTACAAATGTGGACCACATATTTTTATAACATTCATATCCAGAAAGATCCACCATGGAAACATATAGACACATGTCAAAGATATGATTATTACCACAACTGAGTACTCCTGTATTAACTATGGCAGCGTCTTGGAAAGTGGGAAACTTGTGTGGGATCACAACGAGTTCTCGGGAGCTTTGAAATGGCTCAGGCACAGAAGGCATGCTATCTTTTCTTACACTGTTTTCATGTGAAAGTATACAAATGGAATACATTATAATAAATCCTTGGGAGTAGTTGGGCCGATAGATGCCATCGTCCATCGGCGATGGCTGACAGACATCACGACGTTGAGCTGGCATCGTGATTGTAAAATACTGACAACTCGTCGTTTTTTCCGTATATTTCCACCCGCGATCCGTTATCACGGCAGCCGCACGTCGGCTTAATGACGCAGCCTGTCCAACAACTGAAACCAACATCTGCACTCTGTGTGTCCAACGTGACTTGTAATGTAAGTTAATAGTCTACCAATTTTTTTTACCGAGTGAAGTTTGTACACATGCACATGAGACGACTGCTGCCTCCCGCGTACCCGCACCCGATGACATCGTCCATCCCGATGTTTCATTGCAGACATCGTCCGTTGGAAATTTTGTAGACATCGCCCAAACCGACTTGGGAGTTGGGTATGGAAAACTGGCTGAAGGAGGGCGGGGCTATCCAAAGGAAGCAAACCCGCACATTGTGGACACACATGACCTTGTACTTCCCCACACATCTACCGCCCAGTTAAATTAACGGCAACCAAAGAACATTTGGCAGAGAAACAGAGAGAGAGAGAGAGAGACATTATTAGTTAGACGACATGGACACACTGGATATTTTCCAAGCATGGACCAGGTAAAGCAACAGTGAATACACCTGTTTGTGCAAGTTCCACGTTGATCTCAATTGTTTCGATAGGCGACGTCATTAATAACAAGCCTCCAGCAGAAGCGGCTCACCTTCTGCTGTTAAAACAGAAACAAGGGGGGAAAAAGTACTACACATAGTGCTGAATGTCAACACAGCAGACACACACAGGGAGAGAGAGGTGTATGTGTGTCTGAAGGGAAAAGCAAGGTGAGCAAATTAAAACAATCTGTGGGTAAACACTAAAATGAGGAGGAGAATTAAGCCAAAGACAAATGGTGAGATAAATAATATACTAGAAAAGGGTAATGTGTAGATAACATGTACAACCCCAATGTTTATGTTGGTGCTAATGTGGATCCTAAGAAAGAAAGAAAGAAAGAAAGAAAAAAAATTCCATAATAAAAGTCAATTATAGTTCTTAGAAAGAAAGAAATTGGCCAAAATCGGAATTGGCAGATCAGACCTTTAGAAAATTCAGAATCGGCCAAGAAAAGTGCAATCAGTGCATCTCCATACAGATAGGAGCTACTTAACTCCATTACATGATGTACAGCATACAATGGTAGACTATGAAGCAGCACATTAGTCATGCAGATATATGATTTTGGTCCCTGGACTACTTTTTCCTTGCTTCACTGTTGAACGCAATGATGTAAAGGGAAATTGCCCTAAGGAAACTTGAGGCAAGGAAATTAAGGGAGACATCATGATTGTTCTTTGAAGAGATTCAATGGGAACATGGAATTATAGAATACAATAACATCTCAGAGAAGAGAAAAAAGCTACCCAATGGGTATGTACAATCAGTTTAAAGTTTAAAGTTTCTTGATACTAAATTTTAATTCTTTTGTGCTTGTACTTGCCATTTAATAGGAAATGTTTAATTCCACTAACCTCCAATTTAGAAGAAAAGTATTAAGTAGTTATTGTTGGCGAGTCAACAATTAACATGAGCATCCAGCATGACCTTTCTGTGTGGAGTTTGCATGTTCTCCCCGTGTCTGCGTGGGTTCTTTCCGGGTGCTCCGGCTTCCTCCCACTGTCCAAAGACATGGAGACTAGGTTGATTTGTGACCCTATGTCAGCTGGGATTGGCCCCGCGACCCTGTACGCAGGATAAGCGGTTGACGATGGATGGATGGACTTGTGATAAACATTCTACAATAAGACATGTGATGTTATATTTTAGATAACTTTACATCTGCAACATAAATAACAACTATCCATGAGCATTATTGTACATTTACAAGATGTATGACAGGAAAAGATGCTCTTTAAAATTCAAGAATTTGCCTGAGAATCATCATGTTTTTAAGTTTAGTTCAGTATTAAAGTAATCCAGGGATTGTTGTATTACATTGGGTACACTGCAAACAGGAACTGCTAATAGCTAATTCAGCGTAATAGACAGGCTGTATTGAGAGCACAGTTGTCAGTATTATATGAAGGGGTGGGGTGGGGGGAGGGGGCACAGTGTCAGACGTTGAAAAGCCCTAGTCCATGGTCTATGTTGGTGTGTGATTATGTTTTCATGTGCTGTTCTTTCAAATAAAGTCTGGCTAGATTAGATTTGAGCAGTGCCATCAAGTGCGATTTTGTTCAAACAAAGCCACGCTTTTGCACTGTGCTGTGAAATGCTACAATATTAATGCCATTTCACTTTTCTGCTTTACAGGATTGGGCTAAGGAGGACTACAGCGGGGGCTGCCCTGTTAATGTCATGGCACCAGGTCTGCTAACATATTACCACCCTAGCCTGAGGAAGCCCTGTGGCAGGTAATCACCCCACAGATGACAAATACACCACAGCACCACACATTTCCTTCTCCCAATCCTCAAAAGAGTTACCTTTCCTTTGTGTTCTCACCAGAAGAACTGGCTGTGTAGTGGAGTTTCTAAATCTTTAAAAAATAATTCCAAGAGCTAAATTCAGAGTTTATAGTTCAGTAAATAGTATGATTGCACATTAGATTCCAGGATGAGAGATACTGACTGTGGTTGCTGGATGCTCATGCTATTTTTATACCACTGAAACAATGTCTGCACTTCACCCTGCCAACCAGGGATTACTCACTAGCACCCAGGGCCTACAGATCATGGACATGAGTTGTGGGAGTGATTATGCCTTCACTGATACATATTAGTCCAGTGGTAAGGAAATGGCAGGAGGTCTTCAGGGGTGGTGTTCTCATAGGAAAACGTCCTATAATCCATTTCTAATGGCCTGTTCAGAGATGCACAAAGCTGAACGAATGAGAGCGAGAGGTGGGGAGGGGGATCCAGGTAATGTATTTCCATAATGACATTAAGTCTGTGGGGAGCAGAGGAAGCTCATTACATAACGTAACTCAGAAAGCAGCACATCGCGGTAGCCCTTATCCACATTCCTGCCCCATATAGGAAATGGATTCTCAAGGACACGCTTTGACCTTGAAACAAATCCGGCACGTGTAATGAAGACAAGCCCATGCTTAGATAACTAAGATGCTGTTGATGCTTCAAACATACAGTTTCTGTTGTATGCATACAGTTATATTGATAGATTCCTGTAGTGTCTGATGGATTATGGCATTTTTTGGGGATATTATGAATCTCAATATTATTAGAGTAATTGGATACTATGCCTGACTGGTCAGCATGTGAGATGTTTACACTACCCTACTCAATTCTAGGTGTGGTGTTAGAGAGAAGAGAAGAAACAAAGAACTATAAATAAACTGGCCTCAGTAGGTTCATGATTTACTAAGTTAAGTTAAAATCCATGCAGAATAAACACTGAATTGACAAGAGTTGCTTAGTAGGATGCTGGAATTTTGGAACAAATTGGTTGTTTGTGTTGCTTCTCACATTGTTTGGATTATTACAACCAACAGAGTAGGATTAGTTCATTCAACCTATTATATACCTCCTAAGACGGAGTGTAACAGAATACATTTAAATATTTTAAAACGGTGTCTTAGTTTAGAAATTGATGCTGAGAATATAATTACGTAGCTCTAATAATTAAAAGTGGAGCTCTCCATCAGAGCTCTATAAACTTAGCAGTTTATCTCTGTGCGTACAGTGAAGTTTGCATCCATTCAGCCATTTCAGGATTAGCCATCAGTTCTTCTCCATTCTCTCTTGGAAGGGCAGCAGCAACACTGCTCCTCAATCTGAAATACCAAAATGACTCACTTCTTTTACAAAGGCTCTTGCTTCTTACCAGGCAATGCCTGATGTTTACCTCTAATACTGCATATATATCAAAAGCTTGACAGCAGACTAACATACAACAGTTCAGCAAGAAATCACCATCACAAAACACAACACAATACTCTTGTCGTTGAAATAAAAAAATCAGTTCTGGTCTAGTGCAGATGAGAGTTGTAGAGTACAGTGTAAGCTTGATGATCAATCTTTCAATCACATTGATATGACTTAAAAGAGGCAGTCTCCCCTCAATTCTTTTAGACCTTCACACACACACACACACACACACACACACACACACAAAACTAAACACCAATATGTTTTTATATAATAAACTTCATTCTTCACCTTTTCCTCTGGTCCTTTGCTTTCACCTGCTGGTCACTCTGTCTCCCTCAACCAAACACTACGCACACAATAAGGAGCGACTTGATGGCGACTGTGAATGGTGGGGATAATGTGACAGGACTAGTAGAAAAGAAAAATGCCTCTGCCCCCGTTAGGGAGTATTTTGGGTTTAGTCCGATGATAAAGGTGAGCCAGCTGACATGGACAAAGCTGGTGCACATCATCTCCGATCAGCCCACTGATATGTTGATATCCGCTGTGGCAACAGGTCCTCCAGAAAGAATCTATGGAAGAAGGGTGCTTATTTCCTAACTATTCATCTATACATACTGTATACCCCGGTGAAATGTCATGAAGCTATGAAGGTATGAAAAAATAGATACTGCCCATGCCTAGTTCAAAAGGTTGAAATTTGTGTCTAGTAGCATTATACTCACAGGGTCCCGGAATTTCCCCAAAGGACCAACTTAAAGAAACACCCAAATACATCTAACAGATCAAATCTGATGAACAGCCACTAGCCACAGAACTGTTGCACAAATCTCATTCACTGAAAATGACTCAGTGCAGCAAAACTGCTTCTTGAATTTGCATGAAACAGCCTTGGGTGGATCTCGTCCTGCCAACACATACAGTATGACTGTGATAGGCCAACACAAAGGCCAGAAGCAAAGCATCTGTTTATACACAGACAATCCAACAAAAAAATGTGTGAAGAAAAAGTCAGCAAGAAGCAAATGGTAAGATGTTTCTGGTGCCAACGGAAGTAGATCGAACAAATCTCTTGTCTTCCAGTATAATCCAATTGTGCGGAATCTTCCAACACAGCGGAAAAGGACTCTGACTTCACCAGTACCAAACCAACACTTTTTTGCCAACACACAGACAAAAATGCAAACTTTAAATCTCTGAGATCCCACTAAAACTTCTACACCCAGTAAAAGGACTGTACAATGCAAGTGTCAGGGCTGACCCTGTGAATCTGGGGGTCCCAAGCCGGATAATTTTGGGGGCCTTGCCTCGCAGTGGATAGACATAAATTATTCATAGAACCGTTTGCAATTATAACCCTTATGCATTTTATTTGTAGGCTATCTCTAGCAACATGCTGAGCTTTTTCTACTGCTAATTATATAGTATAAATGGCAGGAAGATACTGCACTATTCAGGATTCTAGGATGAAATTTAATACCAACTTCACTGCCGTTTACATTTTATTTAACACATTATAGCTTGGGGTGTGTTTGTACTTTGATGAGATAAAATGAATGAAGGACGTCACTTTGTGTTGAAAAGTGGTGGGGACATAAGGGTTCAGATTAGGAGTGTGATGATACACTTGCACAATTCACAATATTGGGTTCATGAGAACTAGACAAGATATTTTAACACTATTTGATGAAATATTCAATGTTGAAATATATTTAAATGTGGATCTGGGGGTCCCCTAGAAAATTTTGAGCACTAAACACTTAATTTCCTGCATTCTGGAGATATTTTCTGCACCAATTTATGGTAGAATTATCTTTATTTAAATAAAGTGATTCAGATGTTAGTCTTTTTTGAACAATGCACATTTGTTTCTTTTCATCCATGTAGATAGCTATACATTTCTAAAAATGTGATTGGTTAAGGGGCGGGACTAACAGGCAGAGCGGAGTGGAGTTACCTGGTCAGCCTGCTGCAGAAAAGTGTGTGTTTTCTGTAGAGTTAGTGACCAGCTGCAGAAGAAAGAAAAGTGTAATTTAATTAATATACAGCGACAGTTAGTAGCCTGGCTAGTTTCTAATAACTTTGTCATACTGCTACACATCGTTGTGGATTGTACTGTGTGTTGAAAGCTATACTAGTCTGCAGATAGCAACAGGTTAACACCATCGCTAACAGCAAGCTAACATCGTAAGGACACTGGAGCCCCTGACAGCACTGTGTGTGACCGGAAAAGTACCTCTGGCTTCGAGGGAGACCATCATGTGTCCGGCCTCATCTTCATCTTTCTGAGAGGATTGCAAAATATGACAACAGCGGGGGTCATCTGGACGATGCTGTGAAACTGGGCTTAATGTTACTTGGAAGGGTAAATGTCAAACAGTTGGAGGAAAACAGCTAGGAGCTCAGTGAAAGTTGGATCATAACGTTTATTAAACTCCAAGGAAAATGTTAAACAGCACTGTGGGTCCGCAAAGAGTTGGAGGACTATTTGAAAAATTTCACAGGCATCCAGAAGTTTTCTCCACTTTTCCTCATGTGAGCCCTCAGCTGTGGTGAGTGAAAGCATCTTTTATCATCCTGACTCTGTGGCTGCTCCGTGCATGGGCCAAATTGTTGTGCTGAATCGATTGATACTAGGCTATGGATTATGGTTGTTTTCATAATGTTTTCATAGAGCTGCTTTTATACTGCTTTATTATTCTGTATTGTTACGCCAACATTCTGGCCTGGAAGGGGATATATATTGGCGGATATTCTTTCTGTTTTGATTGCAGGATCTCTGTGGAAAAAAAGGTCTGTGCGCGTTGTTGTTTACTTCAGTGGTGTTGAGCAGTAACAGCAACTTTAGCGTTTAACTGAAATCATGATCGATTGTTGAGTTGAAGGCTAGCCAAAGTAAGCCGCAATCCTCAGCTGAAAATGTACACACGTGCGTTTGTTGTTCTCCTGGTTGGGCCGTGAGTTTGGGTTGTAACGTCACAGTCATAACTGGGTGAGCTGCCCCTTAGAGTAACTAGCACTCGGGTGATGTTTGTGTTGGTAAAGTAGTTGTCTGGTTGTTGGTCTGATGTTTGCTGTATGACACACTATGAATTTCCGAAAGGACTAATAAATATCTATCACCTATAACTTAAACAGCTCATCGCGTTAAGAGCAAAAGTGCATCTTAAAGGATGCCTCAATGAATTGATGAAATAATCTGAAGAAGCTTCCAGTACTAATATCATTACACAACTTTATGCAGACACATATTGAATATTTCAATTAAATTATTAGAAAAATGAAAAGAAAAATATCTATGCCCCGGAATGTCTGTAATCTTGGTGGTGGTGGCAATGGATAAGACACATGCCTTTCGTGTGAGAGACCCGGGTTCAATCCCCCACTGTGACACATCCACCAACGTGTCCCTGAGCAAAACACTTAACCCCTAGTTGCTCCAGAGGTGTGCGGCCTGATATATATATATAGCAATTGTAAGTCGCTTTGGATAAAAGCGTCAGCTAAATGAATAAATGTAATCT